CCGTCTTTTATAAAATAAGTCACAAGTGGAATAGTGTGTCACCCACTTTGTCAAAAGTATTTTCGTCCTTTGTAAAATAAGTCAAAAAGCTAAAGGTGTAAATCTTATCATGTTGGAAGTGTAAATCTTATCATGTCGGACAAGATCAGAGTCTTGTGAAGCTAGCCTCGGCTATATAAAGTGAGGCATTTCTCTTGATTTGGCAGAGGTCCTCCAACCCAGAGAACTTTGTAAAAAGGTTTGCTCTGAAATAAGATCATGAGTTTCTAAATTCATGTTCTTCCTCTCTGAAATTCTAAATTCCCTTCTTTATATTATAATCGTTCTCCTCCTAACTAGTATGCTTTGTGCTTGCCTCTAATGGAGGATCCTGCACATCAGAAAGTTTAAGCTTAAGATCCTTGCTACGCTCTCCATAACCATAAATGCTTAAACACCTGTAGCACTAAGCCAAAAGTCATGATGGACGCAGTGACTCTACCGTGACACAGATTCTTAGTTTTTATGGTTTTTGTAACTCTCGGCCAACAGTGGTATCAGAGCCTAAATGGTGGCTCGGTGACTTCACAATTTTCTTGTGAAGAATGAGAAGATTATGATATAAGGGATTGGAAGGAAGAAGAGTAAGGAGGGAAACACACACACCATGGATTCTCATACCCAGAAATCAACCCAGCTCTTAAAACCAGCTAGATTATCCTCGTCCATTACTATCCCTAGTTCCTGTAAAACATCCATTGCCTCTAAAATAGAAAACTTAGTAGAATACTCTTACATTCCTGAAACTGCTATAGTAGAAGAGTCTGTTCCTCTTTTGTTAAGGTCGTACAATGTATTCAAAAGACACCGACGTACTATTAGACAACTTATCTCCAATACTAGACCTATTATTAAAGAATATGTCCAGTCTTCTAAACTTGATAAGTGTCTTATCCCCAGTACCTCTCAAAAACAGTACATTGACCTTGAAATCCCAAAAGAGCTTGTTACCCAATGGCTTGCTGAAGGCTATACTCATCTCCATTTTGAAGAGATTAGGCTTGTCTTAACTCTTCATGGCAAAAAAGGATTATATGTCACTGTTCGTATGGCACTTCTAGATACTAGATATACGAAATACGACCATGCAGTAATAGGGACTACACTTTTCATACTTCATGCTGGTAGTGTCCTGTTAACCTTTTTCTCAAATTTCAGCATTCCACTAAAAGACCCACACTTGTCCACATGTCTCAAAGTCCCGCTCCAAATCACTGGTGCAGAGCAAGTCCCGTCTTCGTACATAGCTATACTCCATCATCAGCTCATCTACAGATTGCAGAATTATGCCCCAGACACTCTGTTGATCACAACATAAAGAGAAAATGAGATCCCAATAATTGTGTAAATTCCAAAGCAACTCTCCCATGAAGAAATCACAAGTCTCACGCCCTTGGAATGGTTCACCAACTATGAGAAGCTACACCAGAATCACAAGCTCATCCATACAGCTGATCCAACTTTCATCTGGTTTAAAAATGGACAGGTGAAAACTGTCTTTAAGCTCCCTGATGAAAGTTCAAGCACAACCTTGTCTATGATGATCATACCAGTATCTACAGAAGAAGAAATTTTTATTGTCTGCTTTACAGCAGATGGATCTAGGATCTTCACAGACAAAGTTGATAGTCACTTCATATGAGATATTGATCCTTCTATGTGTGACCCAGACTGTGACTGCTAGATGAACCTCGAAGATGATGAAGAAGATGATCGTCCAAGTAGCAAAAGGAGAAAAAAGAAAGGAACCTGCAAACCTCAGCCTCAGACAACCAGGAGACAGTATCGTCCTGATGATCAAGATAGACCTTGGGTTTTTAAGAAAAACCCTAACAAATCATCCACATCAAAAACTACACCATGTATGATGTTCTCATCATATGATCGAAACTTCCCAGTTCTCGAAAGGCAAGTAGATCAGACAACCAAAGTGGTCTCTAGACCATATGTCCAACCAACAGAGATTCAACCAGACGGGAAAATAAGGCCTCCAACTCAAGCAGAGGAAATCCTAAATTGGCAAACTCAAAATGCCAGAGCACAGAACCAGATCTTGCAAAAAATCGAAACAAAAGTTGACAAGATTATAACCCAGGCCAACCTTGCTGACAAAAAACTTGACAGCCTCAGTGATGATGTACGAAGGCTCTCCGATAATCTTCAGTCAAAGATTAAGCGATTAGAATCTGATTTAATGTTACTGTGTTAGAATAATAATAATGTGAATTTTAACAAGTTTTCTAATTAAAAGTTAAATTTCAACCGATCTTTGATATTCTAAAGTACACCTTTCCAACCGAGCATACCGATAAGCAAACTTCTAATCAAAACCAGTATTCTAAATGTTGGTGCTAATGTCATAGTGTCAATATAATAATAGTGTGAATTTTTTAATTGGTCTTCTAATTAAAAGTTGAATTTTATCCGATCTCCGATCTTCCAAGCCAACACGTTACAAGTTACAAAAACATACTCATAAAGCTAAGACAACAGTAAAATATAATCCGATTCTTAAAAAATTACAAGCGCAACCAGTCATAGACTCATTCAAACTTAGGCCTTGTTCATTTCACCGATTCGAATTTTTAATTCTAATTTTGTTACAATTAAAAACTCTTAATAAAGTAACATCTCAACTCGAATCAACAAACTAAACGATGCCTTAATCTAAAATTCTAAAACAGTTACAAATACAGACACACTCAAAACACATAGTTGTAGCCACATTTAACTAAGAGGGGACGTCATTTCATGCTTACTTGAGAAGTCGTTGCAAACAGCGGAGTCTGTCGATTCGGAGTTGGGGCGGATGTCATTCTTTCGGTGGGGATGCTCCTCCAATGTAGGATCATCTAAACAATCACCCTCACGGCCATTTGCCGAAGCAGTATCATAAGCCATTGATGCCTCCATGTCAAACTTTAACTCCACATTTCTCATTGGCTTCACCACATTTGTCATTTTTTTATGAGCTCAACGTGTAGCACACTTCTATGTTTCAATATAAGACAACGGTCCAAAAGGTAACACTTAACATCAAAATCATCCGAGATGAATTTAGACCCCGGAGTTATCGAAGACAAAGAAATATAACTCAGTTTCAAATCTGTACTCCTTCAATTTATATTAAGCCCTTCAAATATGTTGTCTTAACAATCTCAATATATTTCACTTTATTTGGATCATCTAATAAGATTATGCCTTTTATTTTCTCATTTCTCGAGCACCATTCATATAACCCAGTCTTTTTCTTCTTCCACTCTCCATCATATTCATAATATACGACAATCTCATTCTCAGCCATTTCCTATAAAAAAACAAAAAATAATATCAATACTAAAAATGTTGAAAATAAAAAGAATAAGAACACCGCGAATATTTAGAAATATTAATGGACTGGTAGGAAAGAAAATCATTCGGACCGGTCCTGATTGGAAATTCCAGAGAATTTCACACTTTTTCAATATTTTCTGACCACTTGGATTATTCCTACCGATAAGACCGCTCCTACTGGTAAGACCGTTCCTACTGGTCTGACCAGTCTGCTCTGTATTGTTCTTTCATCTTCTCCTTCAAATTTTTATATTTCATAGCTCAAAGAAATGGCAAAATAACAGGAATCTTGTTGTTCTTTTCCTAATAAAACACTTATATATGAATACCCAATCATTGAATAACATTTAGAGCGAAAAAAAAAGGGTTTGAGATTGGAATACCAATTTTGGAGCTTGATTTCTCAAGCTTTTTTGGGGTTTTCAAAAACTTTGGATTTGAATCTCCCAACTTCTAGAAACAACACCGAAGGATGAACGGAGATTTTCTATGAAGAGATTTTTATTTATTTATTTTTATTCTGGAGAAGAAGACGGTTCTTCTTCAGGTTTTTTTTTTTCGTTTTCTTTTTAGTTTTTACCTCCTATTTTGTTTTTTATAGTAATATGTTGGACTCGTTTAGTTTATTAATTTAAATTAAAATATTATTTTATATAAAAATATTTTATTATAACAAAATTAAATATAATTATTTTTTAAAATTTTTTTCTGTAATAAAAATGAGTGTGCTTTCCTTTTAATGACAAGGGCATTTTGACGTATTCTTTAAATAAATAAAAAATAAAAAACTCCCAACGAATCCTCTTATAGCAGCAGTAATATGCAGTGTTTTATTTAAATTACATTGTCGCGATCAACGATCTTAAAAGTCTTAGCACCAACCAATTTAATCCAATATAAATTGTACTTCAAAACATTAGATCCAATTCAATTGGATTATATGTCAAAGTATACCAAACTAATTTCCAGTTTTAACATTTTATCCATTCTATTATGCATATAAAAATCTTTTACTCTATTCAAACTAAAGAAGAATAATTTTCAAAGCATAACATGTAGAAACTTAAGGTCCGTTTAGTTCGCTGATTCGAGTTTTTAATTCGAGTTAAGATGTGATGTTATGTGAGAGCTTTTTACTGTAACAAAAAAGTTAGATGTGACTGTTTTTGAGAGCTTTTTACTGTAACAAAACTCGAATTCTAAACTCGAATCCATTCCGCCAAAAAAAAAGAGTAAAAGCTTATATAATTTCTTGACGGAGTGTGGAGTTTTTTTTTTTTTTTAAATAAAGAAATAAATAAGAACAGAATAGGTAGTCTAGTGAATTAGCGTCAAAATCACTATCCCAAGTATTTAATTAGAAGTTACAGACAATAAGTTCCTTTCTGCCCTTCCAAGTTTTCACCTTTGTTTTCCAAATTTAAATGTTTTTAAATGTTATAAAACATCTCAAAACCAAACGACATCAAACTGCTCCAAAGGGCTCCTTTTTTTTCAGATAAAAAGATTGGCAATTGCTTTCCTTCAGAAACCAAATCGCCCCCATCACTTTGATATGATAATAAAGCATACAACTCAAAGTGAAAAAGTTATAACAATAACTATATCACAAGAGAATTTGTGTAAAATTGAAGTTATAGAAATGAAAAAGAATTGAGAAAGAAAACAAAGTGAATATTCAATTATACCACCAACAACTATTCAAACAACTACTTCCTCTCGCACTACTGCACAAAGATTAGAAGGGCGTTAGCAAGTATCACCAATCTATACATATGATCGCTACCACCGTTAGCCAGCCTGCTTTTCACTTGTCCCACCACAATGTTCTCCGCCGCAGCATCTCCACCGAAAACATGGAATGCAGCAGCAGGGTCGCGAGCATTTCAGGCACGAGCATTTCGGGCCGCAGCATCTCCACCGAAAACATGGAATGCAGCAGCAGGGTCGCGAGCATTTCAGGCACGAGCATTTCGGGCACAAGCATTTCGGGCACGAGCACGAGCATTTCGGGCACGAGCATTTCGGGCACAAGCATTTCAGGCACGAGCATTTCAGGCACGAGCATTTCGGCCACGAGCATTTTGGGCACGAGCATGTCGGGCATTTAGGTCTCCAACAACATTTTCCGAAGCTAGGTCTCAGACACTCAGGGCATTTGGGTCGCCAGGAGCACGAGACACACCTCGGTCTAGAACATTCAGGGCGTTTTGGTCGCCAGCATTTAATTTTGCAGCACCGGCTTGTGGTAGCAGCGGACGATGAATTAGACCTCTTTTGCAAACATAGATTCTGTCGTATCTTCTTGAGACGAACTTCGGTGGTAATGTTCTCCATCTCATGGATGAACCTGCAAAGATGGCGGATGTAATCAGGGTAAAGCTCCAAGTTGCAGTGACCGCCTCCTTTGATCCACAACGGCTCATATGGATCCTTTGCCATTTTCCATAGCCCATCTCCATGTAACCAATTCACAACATCGTCTTCCGTACCCTGTCAAACATTTTTCAAGCTCAAATCAAAATTGTTGACAGTATACATAGAGCAGCATTAACAAAAGCACTCGGATTTTCATTAAAACAATCTCTAATTATGGAGACAATTTTGTAATTTATGCAAACGTGTGTTCAGGCTATTAATCAACTAAGATATATAGATCATTTCTGTGCAGAGCTAGGGGACATCGCGAGCCCCCAGCTCTACAACAGATAGAGGGTGGGCGGCTGTAAAGGCTTCTACAATGCTATATTCAGGACAATCCTACATAAGTGATATTTAAGACTATCTAACCACCACTGGAAAATTGCCGGGATCGGGACCTTGAGCTTAAACGAAAAATGCATGGTGACCTACCCAATAGCTTTATGGATCTTATTTGCATTGTTACTCCAGCACTCGTCTGCGAGCGAAATACCGATAAAAGCTACTATGATGGTTAATGTTTGATGACCGTAAAAAGCCCAATCAAACAGAGAACTCAGTTTTGTTTGAGATCAGATAAATGTTTGCTCCCACTCCTTAAACTTTGCAGCCAAGCCATTTTACGGCTTTACTGCAAATCAAAGAAGTTAAAAGCAAGGGAAAGGGATTTTTTTTTTAAAGGTCAGGATGCTTACACTGCAAAGCAAGCCGATAAGTTTTTTTTTTTTTATGTGGATATTTATGCAGCTGTCTTTATGAGTTTATAATCTAAAACAGCATGAAAGCAAAGCTGTAATCTTAATGCATATGTTTAGAAATACTTACATGTATCACCAACACGGGGCATTTAACCTTCTTTATTTTGTTGATGTTCTGCAGATATTATAACAATTAATTGCTTGAAATAGCAAAAAACATAGAACAAGAATAAAAATCTTGCATTCTGATCTTTGAATCACTCTAAAACACGTATGGAAAATGGCGATGAATACTCTGCAAAGACATCAAGAAAATCGGGCCTGTGCTAAAACCTAAACATATATATTCACAACATGACGAGGCCAAACAGATCAAGTACCTTGTAAATGTCAAAGCAAAATGTGAATTTCACGTGGCAGAGCACACGAAGGCCAGAAAGAATTGCACTATGTAGAACTACACCTCTTAGCCTAGGCAACTTAGCTGCCAAATGCAATGTCGGTCCACTTCCAACAGATTGTCCATACAAGATTAGATCTTCCTGGCTAACACCATACTGAGTTTGAAGGCATTCGTATACCGCCTCTATGTCGGCGTATGTATTTGATTCACTAGGCTGGGTTTCATAAAGACAATAGTATTACCACAAAAGGTAAGAAATATGCATGACAATGAAAAGATATTAAAGATATTACAACAATTGTTGTAAACAAATCCAGATGGAGATTGTGTACAATTCAAAAGTGGCAGGCAATCCAGTCTTCCGCAGAATGGCTACTCATCCACAAGTATCATTCCGGCCATAATCAAATAGTAAATTAACAAATCCAACGACTTTTCTGGTGTACCAAATTAATGAATAAACAATAGAGCATTGATTTGCTCACAAAATAAGTGGCAGATAGCAAATCTAATTCCCATCTATCGTACTCCCTATGAAAAATATACCTCTTATGATAATTAAATCTTCTTCTAGAAAACAATAGCGAAGTCAAGGAGAGTATCCAATTTTACTTTATTTTTAGAGAATATAGCTCCAAATCTCATCACAAGCTATCAAATAATCCATCGACTTGTTCAGAAGAAACATGACTCCTAATAAATACATCTAAACCCCAACACGCCCCCGAAAATAGTAGAAGCCTTGTCTCCTCAACAAAAGAAAAGTTCCCTCCCTGAAGATTAGCTCGAAATTCTGGTCAATCACACACAACTGCTACTAATACCTTGCATAATGTTCCATGGTCCCAAAATAACTCGTAAGATGCCCAAATTTGCTAATGCAATGACCATTAGTATGGTAACTAACTCTAGAGAATGCTGCTTAAGTAAAGTGTCAATTGAACTTTATAAGCAGCTCATTTCAAATTTGTCAATGTCAAGAGAATAAATGTGCTATGAGTAAATGTGTTCAAAATTACTTAAAGAAAAGCATAAATAAATGGACTTCACATGATAGAGTTGTAGCATACCTTGCCAGTGGAGGCTCCATAACCAGAATAGTCATATCTGCATCATAAAATTCATAATAAATTTATATAAAAAAAAAACACAGATAAATAAATTCCAGGGAACAAAAAAGGATCACACAGTTTAACCAAAGGTTAAGCACCATTAGAATCATTAGATACACTGAACTGAGTACTAATAAACACGAAGAACGTGGAATTTTGAAAAGAAATAAAAATAAAAATAAAAAGTTTGATAAGCACAAATCTCAAGGACCCAACTATGGAAATCAAACGTCATATAGAAATCCATAAATAAGAAAAAGAAAAGAAAAAAAAAAGGACAATGATGGAGGAAAATGGAGGAGCCCCAGAGGCACAAAACTCCAAGAAAAACAGTAAAGCTGCATATACAGTTTTTTTTTTTTTTTGGTGAAAAACAATTACCATTTACTTTAAACGAAGGCGAAAAAGGAAGAAAATGGACAAAACGGACGGTGGAAAAGGACTAGTAAGAACTAACAACGAGGGAAAACTAGTAATTCCTTTCAAGTTCCACCTTCTTCTTCTTATCTTTCCCCCTTTTTTTCCCATTTCAATAATAAAATATTCCATCCAATAAATAAAAAGAGAAAAGAGAGAGAGAGAGAGAGAGAATCATTCGACTACGATATACCCAGAGTAAAAGTAAAATCTGCCCAGATCTTATATAGACCATTTACGCATAAATAAAGACAATAAATCACATTTCAAAACAAACCGTCAAAAGAAGTACAGCAAAAAAAAAAAAAAAAATCTGATCTTTGTCTAATCAAAAACCAAAAACCCACATCCAAAATTCCATAAAAAAAAAAAAAAAAAAAAACCCCAACATCGAAAATGAGCATTTTTTTAACTTTTTACGGAAAAAAAAAAAAAGAAAAGACTGACCCCATGAGATTAACCCTGAGATTGACCTTGAGCTGGAGGAAGAGATCGTAGAGCTGGCCGAGGTCGGCGGCGTTGCCATGGGAGTAGAGCAACGTTAGGCGAGCGTACGGATTCTTCAGATAGAATGCGACAATCTTGTTCCCGTGTTTCGTCTCTATCATCAGCACGTCCAACGCGTTGTCGTCCGCTAGCGGCACCGACGACGACGACGCCGTCATTTTGGAGCTCGACGACGATACCGTCACCGCCGTCAGCTTTCCGTCTCCTCCGCCGCCGCCTTCGCCGTCCCACTTCTTGACGGCGTAAGTCGCCGGCGTCGGCGGAAAGAAGGCGAATTTAGCTGCTAGGTCCGAGAACGTGCACCCCATAATAATAATATTTTAAAAATAACAACAACAATAATAATATTAATATTTACATTCACACCCCAACTCATTGAGCGTGAAAAAAGCTTGAATAATGCATGTGAAGAGAGTTTTTTTTTTTTTTTTGATAAATGAGTTTTGGGGTTTTTACAGAGAGAGAGAGTTTCGTTGAAGTTGAGAATGGTTTTCTTATTATTATTTTTTTCCCTTTGTGGGTTTAGAGAGAGAGAAACAGAGAGAGAGAGAGAGGGAAAATGGTGGTTAGCTATATTTGTGTAAAGTCAGGTCAGCTTTAATGGCGTAAGAATAGCTGCAGAGTTCCCGGAGAGAGAGATTTCTGTAGTGTAGTGTACAGTGTAGAGTGAAGTGTGGAGTGTTGAGGGTGGCAAGACAGAGAAAGAAATATAGAAGAGGAGAGAGAGAGAGAGTTTTTTTGGGTTGGAAAATGGAAAAAAACGAGTTGAGTTGCAATTTTTAAGTGCATGACTTCATTGCTTGTCAGAATCTACTGTACAGCCAAGCAGATCACTGTTCAATATATTTTTTTGCATCTCATTTTCCCATTTTACATCCTCTCTCTCTCTCTCTCTCTCCGAAAGGCTTTCATTTGTTTTTTGTCCGTTTTGAGGAGTTTTATGCACTCTCTGTTCTGAGTATTACACAAAATACTCGCTGTCTGATGCTGACATCTGTTACATTTTTGTTTCTTCTTAGAATTATAGTGATGCCCTTAAAGTTCTTCAAAATTACAACAAAAAAACCCCCTCAAGTCTCAATGGTGTGATGTATGTACCAAAATTACAAGAAAAATATCCTTCAATTTGCCTGCTCATAAGGCTGTCTACTTGTGCTGCTTATTTAGGATCTTTAGGGGTTTTTATTCAGTAGTGACGGAGTTAGTCTTATAGGCAGTATGATATACTAATTTGGTAAAAAAATAATAATATAAAAGATGCAAAAAAAAATATTTAACATAAATTACAATGTGAATACATAAATGTGATACGGTTCAAAATATTAAAATGTACTTTTTTTAATCTCAAAATGCAAGGTATGAGTGAGTTTTATTAATCACTCTTGATTATTATCTAATTTATCAATAATTAATTTTTGTTTTAAAGATAATCAAGTGGGCTGATTAGCGGAGAAAAGAATAGCTAAGTAGATAGATTAACCAAACTTGATGAAAATCTTGTGGTTCACACTATGCCTACCAAATAATCCTCCTACTAATTTATTATCTACGGATTTTTCATTTAAGGAATGCTTCTCAAATGAAATAATTAAAATCATCTTAGAGACACTAACTCTAATCTTAATTTTATTATATCAACTTACGTGATAAATGAGTTGTTACCCTAATAATTGTTTAAAGATTGTCTCGTCAAGTAATAATAACTACATTTATCAATAAAAAAAAATAATTAGTCTATATTACATAAGTTGGTACAAAATAATTGGACTTAAACTTGTCCTTAACACTACTCAAAAATTGAATAGTTAACCAAAACATGTCTATCAAGTTTGGCTATAGCTATAGAAAGGGATCGGTTGCGTTGAAGAATACGTGCTATGCACGTGGAGAGTAAAAGGGAAAAATATCAAGAGCAAAACAAAGAAAAAATTGAACAGTGAAAAATATTGTTCATAAAGGGTGATTTTCAACCAAAACTACATTGTTTTGGTTGAAAATAGTGAAGCCTATTAACATTTTTATATATTGTTATTGTGTATTAAGTTTTAATTATCGTGTTATTATTAAATGCATATAATAGCGCATAACGAAACTAAAATTAAAAAAATTAAATTTTAGAAAAAGTAGCCAAAAAAAGATTAAAAAATGACTATATGAAAGAGAAAAAAATTTTGGAGAGCAAAAAAGAAACTGTAGTGACACTATTATTGTTCATGTGTTTTCGACTAAAAACTTAAGAGCAAAAAAAAAAGAGTGAACAATGAAAATATTGTTCATAAAGGGTGAATTGCAATTAAAACTATGTCGCTTTGGTTGAAAATAATGAAACTCATTGACATTTTTATATATTGTTATAGATTATTATTATTATTATTATTATTATTATTATTATTATTATTATTATTATTATTATTTGCATTTTAGAGGTCTTAGTATAATCAAGGGACGACGCTAATTTTGACAAAAATTAAAGGGTGTTTGTGTGATTTTCTTTTTCTTTTTCTTTTCTTGAAATGATTTTTTTTTTGTTTTCTTGTTTTTCTTTTATTGATAATTTGATAGCTACCGTGGCTTCTAAGATTCATCAATTTCCTTGTTTGTGGAATTTACATGATTAATTTGTGCTTTGAGAGGAGCATAATGATGTTATTTGCAAACCATTATTGACCCGGAAAAGAAACAATAATGCATGCGTTTTGCTTTATGAATATTAGAGAAAATATTCATTGGCATACCAGAAAAAGGTCATTAAATCTTGCACCCTAAAGGAGTGCAAAATCCCATACATGTTCAAAAAGGAAGACGTGATTACGATGGTGTTTGTTTCACAACTTAAGTTAATTTGAGTTGAGTTTGTGAGAAAAAAATATTATAATAAAAAATAAAATTTGAATTTTATAATAGAAAATATTATAATAATAGAATTTGAGTTGTGACTTGAATTTTTTAAAAAATAAAGTCATATTTTTAAATTTTGTTGTTCAGTATATTTTAAAATTTACTAGGCAACGCTGAGTTTACCAATCGCAGTAAATTATCTCATCCTTTAGTCACCACAAAGTTATTTTCTTAGGAAAAAAAAGGGAAAAAAGTCATTCCCTTATAATAATATATACTTATTCTTCCTTAACTAAATAAAAAAAAGGCTAGTAAGTAGTAACTTCAACGATATTAATCCTCAATTCTAGTGGAAACGATTCCATCATCCAATCCCATTTAATCGTAACTTATATTACTCGTTACTAAAATGCATAATGGAGTTTTTTTAGTAGGCTAATCTTACCGTTACAATGTCAATTTTTAAACGTTAAATTATGTTAAAATTACATCAGATTAAAAAAATATACATAATAGATAATTTTTTATACAGATTTAACTGTTGAAAATAAAAAATTATCGATAGTTCATTTTTTCTGGTCCTATTAGATAAGCTCTTAAAACAAAAAGAAAAAAAAAATGCATTTAGGTACTAGTAATTCGCTGATAAAACTTAGGTTTTTTTTTTTTAAAACCTTGTTTAAGTGGTGCACATTTTTTTAATATTGGGTATAAAAATGAAAAATTATATAGAAAAACAATTTCTGATTTAGATTTTACTTTTGGAAGTAGTTTATTTCTGAGATCTTATATGAAAAATCCTCTAAAATTTATCATCCAAAAAGGGACTATGTAGTGTTTTTTCTACGATATATTATTATTATTTTTAGAATCTCTATGATATATTAGTTTTAAAAAAACAAGAAATTTATAATTAAGTATCTGCTTGCAAATGCTAAAAAGAAAGTGACAATTAATCGTTTGATTCTAACCATTTTAAAGCAAAAATAACTCAATATTGCATGGCAAATTAATATCAAACTTTGGACGATTATCAGCTATGACCAAATAGCAAGGATGGCAGAATAGTTGTGTGGGTCACATATCTTTGTTTTCTTCATTTGTTTCCTTGGTTTTACCATTTAGCGTGATCATTTTTATTTGAAGGTGGACATGTAATTATGATTTGTTGTTCTCAATAAGATTCTATGTTTATTAAAAAAAATTTGCCGAGTGCAAATACTTGAATGTCACCGTCATGACTCATTAATTTATTTTTCTCTTTCGCATAAGACAATTGCATTAAATTATTAAGACCAATGACCTTAGGTCATGAACAAAAAGATATCGGTTTTGAATTTAGAAGGGGAACACATTTAATACTGCGTTGCATAAAAAAAAATAATAATAATAACAACTTGATGATATCCCCTTTGCCCCCCCTAATTATCAATTAAAAAAAATAGTAGCATCTTATCAAATGAGAAACAAATAAAACTAATTTGAACAAACATGTTATATTTTGCCAATCTTACAAATGATTAAAGTTTTCTTTTTTCACTCAAACAAAGCTAGTGAGGACTACATGCATTGTTTAAAATTACGAATATCTTTATAATTAGAGACATAATCTAACAATAATTTAATACCTATCTCTATTAAAAAATATAGAGTTTGAATCTCCTATCTCTAAATTTAAAAAAAAAAAAAAAAAAAAAAAAAAAAAAAAAAAATTAAGATTAAAATATATGGCTGTGAATTTGCCACATGACTAATCTGAAGGAAAATTAGTCTTGGGTGTTCTTACAAACTATGGGGGTTGAATTAATTTGGTGGGTGTTACTTTTCCTTACTCTTTTCCAATTATAACTGCGTTAATGCTCTTATATAGCAAAATTGTGAAAGAGTTCAAGAGTGGTACGTATGAAGAAATTAAAGAGAGTGTTTTTTTTATGAATATTTTCTTAACTTAAGCTATATATAAATATAGCCTTTTCCTCACCTAGTAAAAGTAACATTGGCTAAAGTTCAACCCAAGTTATGATGAAGAAAAAGCTACTCACTACTATATGCACATCATTAAATGTAAAGAATAGTTTTTCAGCTAAACATGCCATAACCAAAGTATGTTTGACTTTGCATTTCTCATCTTCAATAATTGTCAAAAGAAGTGTGTTCATCGTTGAGTAGGATATTCTAGTGAGGCTAATTACTCAATTGCCCAAAGGCTCTCTAACAGTCATTTGACTCATTTCCAACGCTGCTGCAGATAGTGCATTGAAGTTGTATATCATCACTCTTTAGCAGCAAAAGTTACACATTTATGCTCCATAGTGTACTTGTTTGAGTGTCTAATTTGAAATTCGGTGTGTATTTATTCGTCTTTGAGTGTTTCATTTAGATTTACTGGTGAAACTAATTATTATTTGAATTATGGTTTTTTTTTTTTTTATAGTTTAAGGTTATATGAGTCAGTATTAGTGTTTGTATTGTCTTGATTTAAATTATTATTCTTTTGTTTAAAAAAAAAAAAAAAAAAGCTACACGTTTTTTTCTTCGTAGGAAAATTATAAATACTGCTTAGAACCCTACAAATATTGCTTTGCTTCAGTTGTCCAAAAGGT